GATAGTTAATGGTTTCTGGGAGAGGGAGACTTGGTTTTCTGTAAGGGATAACTCATGACAGGTTGATTGTTGTTGTTTGTTTTTGCTTTTGGGGGGGGTACCACCCAGCTCCCAAATAAATCACACATGGAGGCTTATTCTTAATTATGAATGCCTAGCCTTAGCTTGGCTTATTTCTAGCCAGGTTTTCTTAACTTTAAATTATCCCATCTACCTTTTGCCTCTGGGCTTTTCCCATTCTGTAAATCTTACTCTTACTCCACAGCTTGCTGTTTAGCTGGGTGGCTGGCCTCTGGAGTCCTCCTCCTTCTCTGGCTACTTCATCTCTCCACTCCTCCACCTCTCTTCTTTCTCCTCCCAGATTTCTCCTTCTCTATATTCTCTCTGCCTGCCAGCCCCACCTATCCCTTCTCCTGCCTTGCCATTGGCCGTTCAGTTCTTTATTAGACCATCAGGTGTTCTAGATAGGCACAGTAACACAACTTCACAGAGTTAAACATGCAACATAAACAAAAGTAACACACCTTAAAATAATATTCCCCAACAGCTGATCACTCTCCAGTGGGTGGCTCCTGACTCATGAGTACATAAGTGGTACAAATTAGACTTGGTGAGTTAGTTTTTTAAAAAGGGGAAAAAGTTAAAACTTTGGAGAGAGAGCTGAGGGATGAGATATGGATTTGAAAGGAATTGCGGGAAGAGTGGAGAACAATTATGATAAAATTATATGAATGTTTGAAATTCTCAAAGAATTAATAAACTACTATATTAAAACTGGGAGAGGGAAGGTTGTGATAAGGAAAGTAAGAATACAAAAACCAAAGATTACTGCTGAGAATAATTTTAAAGGATTAAACACTAGCTCTACAGGGTGGATATTTGGAGAATAGTCATAGATTCAGCCAAAAAGGGTTTTGTAGTGTTGTATCATTTAAGACTGTCCTGGGAGGCAAACATTTCAGCTGTAGAAAAAATAATATTTTTTAAATAATCTATTGAAAGAAAATAAAGATACATATATTTAAATTTAAAAAGGTAAGTCGTATTGATCACCGTGAAAGCCAAATAATAAGTACATAGAAATCATTGTGTTCTTACATAACATCATTTCTCTGCATATATGAGTGTGTCCATATGAAAACAGAAGCACATACACATCCATTCTCAAGTAAATACTGTTGGCTGAAATACAGTTGTCCTTCAACATCTGCAGGGGTTGGATTTCCAAATCCAAGGATACTCAAGTCCTTTATGTTTTCATGTAACATATACACATCCTCCCGTGTTTTTGTTATCTCTTGGTCATTTATATGCCATTTAATTATAACCACCTGTCAGTCAGCAATGGAGATAAGTTCTGAGCGATGCATGTTTAGGCTTTTTCACTGTCATGAGTCATAGAGAATACCCACACAAACTAAGATGGCTGCCCCATCAGGACCATAGTGGTTAATGCTGTCTGTCCTTAACAAAATAATCATGAGTTGTTGAACAGTGCATGGCTGTACTTGTTCTAAGGGAATGTTACCAAGAATAGGTGCTGACATGTTCGGTGCAGAATTTTTTC